GGCGCCCAGAAACAGAGTAACTGCGTGTAAAGAGGTTATATTTTTGTGTGATTAATTTTCCAGTAATATTAAGCAATTTGGAAATATTATTAAGTAGTAAAGATCATTTTTAGTGCGTTTTCCCTAATATCATTTATTTTCTAGTCAGTAATAATGAGTAAGAAAGGTGGATTTTCCTGCGTCATGTGCAAAAACATATCTGGACGAAATGCAAGAATAAAGTTTTTTTGTTTTCCAAAAGATCCAGAAATGTAAGTTAAAATTTGTTGTAAATAATGATGCAGATTGATTTAGTAGTTTATATAATGATATTAAAATTGTGTAATTACTTTTTTGCATAGGTCTAGATTATGGCTCAAAGCTTGCAATCGTACGATAAATAGAACAACAGAAGAACTGTATAAAAATTATCGAATTTGTAGTGTTCATTTCAACGAGAACATGTATCTCAATGACTTAAAAACTAGACTCTTACCTCGAGCTATACCTATACAGACTGCAATATAGACCTCAAACATAACAAATCCAAACTGCGACACTGACATTATTTCACAAGGTAATATTCTTTACTTTTTACTCAATTATAAGTGACACTAATAATTTTTTATCACAGAAAGTACAGAATCTCGACAGCAATTTCATCAGGATGAATCAGAGATAGAAACAAATCAATTATATGGACAAATGGAATTAACTGAAAGCAATAATTCCAGTAAGTTTTAAATATCAGAGATGAATACAATAATTTGAAATGAATTAATGATTAGCAATAAAAAATATAGGATTGTTAATAAACTACAAAATATATTAATTACTTTTAGTTGGTACAATGAAACACATAATTAATAAAAATTACTATGTATTAATTGTTATTTGTAGCTGATGGAATGCTAATATTATCAGAGGAGCGTAATATTTCAAGAGAAGAAATTAAGGAACTTGATTTTTCAAAAGTACTCAGCAAACAAATACAAACGCCTCAGAAGTTGTCTCACGATACACCAAGAAAGAATAAACTAAAAGCAAGAATTATATCATTACAGCGAGAAAAGAGAAAGTTGAAAGAACAGTTAAAAAGTGCACTTGAAAAAACAAAAATTAAGGAGAATTTAGAATACTACTGTCAGCTAACCGATAAATTTTTATCTCCTTCTATAGCAGCTTTGGTGAAGGAACAAGCTAAATTAAACCAACAATCAATAAAAGGCAGGAAATATTCTATGCAATTTAAACAATTTTGTCTTAGTATCTATTTTGCTGGTCCAAAGAGTTATAAAGTATTGCGTAAGGAACTATTATTACCAAGTCCGAGAACTCTTCAGCGATCAATTGAGTCGTTACAAATATCTCCCGGACTTAATGATTTAGTCTTCGATATGATTAGGAGAAGGATTGTCAATTTTACATCGCTAGATAGGTTGTGCGTAATTTATTTTTAATGTTAAATACATCATTTTTTGTTAAATACATATATACATATATGTGATATAATATGGTATGTGATATAGCTTTTATGTTAAATACATTATTATTATTTTCTGTATGGTATAATTCAATATGCTGTTTCAGACATTAGAAATGGTTAACATGTGCATTCATAAATAATAAATATGAATTAAATACATTAAAATATAAAATTAAGTCTAAGGCCGGTATTCATAGTCCGATCTGATAATAAAGAATTTTATAGAAAAATTCAAGGCTGTATCATTCCTCACCGTCACAATGATAAAGATCATTACAAATTTGTACAAAGATGCTATGTAGGAAATGAGATATTTTATTATCATCACAGATAAATTTAAGACAATTTTCAATGTTAATCCATCTATAAATGCCGACTTTAGTATTATATTTGAATTAATTTTTCTCCTCTTTTTACAGCAGAATAAACATGAGAATTGCTTTACCAATGCAATCGAGAGAAAACATCATTTTATTGGAACAATCAAGGGAACAATCATTTAAAAATTGTATTATAAATATTTTTTAGCACATTGTCCATCAACTGTTAACTAATCATTGAAAGTTTAAAATAATATTTTTTTATTACATCCTGAAATGTGTGTGTTTAATTACAATATATTATTATTATTTAACCTCATTTTATAATTCAATTTTTCCTAACTTTTTCCGTAATTTTTTTCACCTATTTACCTATTTCATCAATTAGAAGTCTACGAATATACAGAAGAAATTTTCAAGTCAACTTTTTTTATTTTACTCCTTCGAATAACGCGCTTTTTTACTGTCGAAAACATGGCGGATGGTCACGTGACTGGGTAACACGAACATCAAAGGTTCCGACTTTACTGTCGTAACTGGTTATAGTTAAACTGTGACCCGGCGAATGTCTCAAAAAACGCCGAAAAGTCGACTTCAAGTCGACTTTCGTCCTTAAAAATTCTAATTTATATATATCCCTAAGAGCAAAAAGTCGACTTTAAGTCGACTTCTACCGAAACTGACTTGGCAGAAAGTCGACTTAAAGTCGACTTTTTGCTCTTAGGGATATATATAAATTAGAATACCTACATCTAATCATTCTGTTATAACAGATCATAGATTAGCATTGAATCATAATTTCGATTGGGATAATGTGGAAATTCTATAGATAATGAATCGTATTTTTATAAACGTTTATGGAGGAGTCACATTGCGTTCGATCACGTCCGATGTTCGACGTACGACGATCCGACATCCAATAACAGAATTTATTATTAGAGACAAAAATTTCCTATTGGATGTCGGATCGTCGTACGTCGAACATCGGACGCAGTGTGAATCCTCCATTAATTTCCGAGATGCTGTGCATAAAAAGACAGGAATGGATTGAATTTGCAGACGGACACGGAAGGTTTACCGGATACTTATTTGAACGTTATTGATAGGTTATCAAAAATTTAGAGTTATTTGTTGTGAATTTTTATCCCCACAATTAAAGTCGAATTGTATACACCGCGCTTTTATTATGTTAACCTTCCGATTTCTACCAATGCTTATTTACTCACTCACGACATGTCAGAGCGACAGATACATTTTAACACTGCGACTTACTGGTCTGTAATGGTCCGTAAGCAAGAATTCGTGATTGTAATTTTAATACTGATACATTACGTTTTTTAACATATTGCGACTCCGATTCATGGTTTAGAAAGGACAATCGAATCTCTCCTTTCTACCTGGTCTGGTCTTCCAATCTGGGAGTAAACGTCGAAGGTGCGATCGATTCGGAGCATTTGCATATCCTGACAGACTGGCCTAGTTTACACCGATCACTTGATACGCGTATTAAATAGTAAATAACTAGTAAATAAGTCTGATTATTGGCTGATCAGTTCAAATATACTATTTGATACGCGTATCAAGAGATCGGTGTAAACTAGGCCACTACCTAACATTCGTATAAATTTTATTTTATTGATTTGACTGCGCTTTTCTACTGATTGGCTCATTTTATCGCGATTGACTGTAATTTATCGTTTGAAATTTTCATGTATTATTTTCATTTTTACGCTGAAGATGACACAAAAAAAGTGTCGAAACGTCCGAATTTGTATTAACTAATATATTTTATTATTGACTTATTTTGATTGCGCATTAATTACCGCGCGTGGCTCTGATTGCCTCTCTCACTCCCCTTTATTTGATTTATTCAGGAGAGCCTATATTTCGTTTATTCAATTTTTCATTTATATTTGTGTATGCATATAATTTTTCCTCGCTTAATATTTAAATTATGTACAGATCCATTTGTGAGAAATTTAATGTAGGAAAAGCCACTGCGTTAAATGCTGGAAATTGGAATATTGTTACAATTTTTCCGTCTATAATTCTATAATTCGATTCGACGACATGTTTGTTGATATGCAATTCGCTAACAATGCGTTCCGAAATGAACGTAAGCGCTTACGCTTGATCACACTCACACTGCCCTACCTTGCAGAAATAAGCGTTTGTCAGCAGAAGTTATGACGTCAATGAAGACGTCATTAGACGATCCGTAAGCGCTTACGGCTGTGTTTCGATATTCACTGTAAGTACTGACGATATGACGTCATTGAGTAGAACTGCAGGAGCGTTTCTATATTGCTGCTGTTACTTTCAAGCTGGAATAACGGAACGACGACACAGTACTGCCAGTACTGCCAGTGA